ATGAAGCGGTGATGCTCCTGCTTTCCCTTGGCCAGTCCTGACCGGTTTCTCAAAGCGAATGAGAATAAACAGCAGAAACTAGAAAGGAAAAGCTCAAAAGCCCAATGTCACTTTTGTCCCCACCCTTCAGCTCCCCTACAGTGGAGGATGCAGCTGTGCCACATCCTCACTTTTGGGGAGCTCCACTCCACCTGCTTGGCACCCAGAATTTGGGCAATACAAGGGTACCTGTGTCCTCACGCATGACTGGCCACGCTGATGGAAACCGGAGAGGGGAAATTATCCAAATCAGACACCTTTTCCCACTAATCTGCCAGAGGAAACCTTTAGTGGGCAACCTGCCAGGGCGGCCTCAGACTGACAACAGCTTTTCCAAATGTCATCCAACTCGGAGGAGATAGGGAAAGCTTGGTAAATAAACGTTCCTCGGGTGCCATGCTCATCCCCATGGCATCCCAGGGCCTCCTGGCAGTGCAGTGACACAGTGACTCATCCATCGGACATGTTGTTTGTTCTCTCCCTGCCAGGAGAAGCACACAGAGGGCTTGTTTTGGTAGGGTTGTTTGTCTTTTTTTTAATTACTTTTCTGCATTTGTGCTCAAGGAGTGAGCTGGCAGTGAAAGCAGAGGTGAAGGCGGATTCCCATGTGAGAAGGTTCACCCTTTTTTTTTTTTTTTTTGCTAATAAATGATGGAGCTGCTCCAAAGAGTGGGGAAGATGATAGCACATGAGCATGCTCTGCCCCACACCCTCCTAGGGATTATTTCCAGTAGATTTCTACTATTTCCTCCTGAAAAAAATTCTCATCACCCATAAATGTTAACTGGCACAACGTCAGTGGGATGATCCAAGGCATTCTGTGGCCTCATTTGCCAGGGCAGATCTGAGGAGCCCTTACCTGCAAGGCCCCCTGGACCAGCTCGCCCTTGTGTGATGCCAGCATGGTGTGGACATCATAAGGAATTTCGTGCTGCTCCAGGATGCCAAGCAAACCTCTCACCTTTGCTGTGACCTTCAATGAGAGCACAGGAATTTAGCTACACCCAAAAATCATCTCCTTCCCAGGGGCATCAAGGCCATGGGATACAGGGAGTTGTAGTCCCAGCCTCGGTCTTCAGGCAGGGAAAGCTGACGTCGCAGGTCCAGTGAAAAAGACCATTCTGAGCAACATTTTCCGAAGGAGGCTGAGTAATTATTTTGCTCAGATAAGCCCAGGAACATTGTGTGAAGCTATATGCACACAGCAATAGTTGAGAGTTCTGAGCAAGGGAATTCAGAGCTGTCAGCAAGGAGGGAAATACCACTTCAGGGGATTGAAAACATTCATAAAAAATTCCTGGATCCCAGCCTAGTCCGTCCCATTGCCGGCCATGCTCGCAGTTGTGTATTTTTGCTTCAGGGATGGATTCACAAGAAGGGTTTTTTTTTCCCCCTGTGCTGCAACACATGGCTGAAAAAGCACATCTTAACCTGGAGTAGTGAGTGACAAGCTTTCGGCCAACAGAAGCCCACCTGGCACCATGGGGTTTTGCAGGGCTGTCCTGGCTCGTCCCTGTCAAGCCTCTGGCTCTCTTCCTGACAGGGACCAGCACAACAACTGTAGCACAAGCCCAGCAAGATGTATACATCCAAGCTGTTCTGCTGACATCGAATTTTAAGTTGTGGGTGTCCCAACGCTGCTTTTTCCAGATCATGAGACTCAAATTCCCCAAACTTGGAGGACAACCGGCCAGGAAACATGGGGTTGAGATGACACTTCCCACATGGCCCACTACGTAACCTTAACTCTGCCCCCTTGGGAATGGCAATAGGAACTGGAACAGGATCTTATCCCTCCTTGGCTGTATTGGATACATTCCCTCAACATAAACTCAAGGTCTCAATGCAAAGCCACGGAATCTGAAAGCTATGTCTATGCTGTTCAATAAAGGAGGGCCAAGGGTTTATCCGTGCCCACAAGGCAGATGGCCATGAGGGATGGAGAAGCATCATTCTTTTTGGCTCATGGTCAGATTGAGTTGAGCATCTTTGGTCACGATACAGGTGGGGCCAATGCCTGAAGGCATCCAGATGGGACCCCCTGGAGTTTATTTACTAAGTGCCCACATGGACATGGGAAAGGAGTGTTGGTCCTCTTCACTTGGGAGCTGGAGATTGCAGCATGGCAAGTTGAAATGGCTTTGGGACCTCTGGCTCTTAGTTCACCGTATATGCTTTATCCTCATGGAGCCTTCTCTCCATTTCATGCCAACGTGACAGCACAAATGTCTTGACTTTTCCCTTTAGCATGTACTAGTCATCAAATACTCTTTTTCTACCTTGATTTCCTTTACTGCCTCCTTTTCTGCCCTCCAGCACGACCCATTGTCAGCGTGTGACCTGGGCACATGAGTTGCCCTTTTTTTCTAACACAAAAAAACCCCCACAACACAAAAAATACAGAGCAATCTTGGCAGTCCCCTTCTGCAGCCACAGGATTTATCTTCCCAGCCCTTACGATACCCTCCCAGCCCCATGAAGCAATCCATCTCTCACCTGCTATTATGGAGTTCATCTCACAGAACTAATGGAGTATGAGAGTCCTGAATTGGCTCCCGCTAATGCTCTCAGTGGCCGGGTCGCTGTGGGAAGCGAGCTGGGAATTAATTTTGAAAATCAATGCGGACGCCGATAGAGCAGCTTCCCCCAGGGAAGGGACGTGCTTTTACCGGGCATTGCCTCCTGCTCCCCTTTGGCCCCCGTCTTCTTTTATGTGGTCGAAGTAACTGCGGAATAATTCATCCTGCTTTCAATGAGCTCGTCTTTTGTGCTATGCTCTCCGGTTTCCCCAAATCAGAACGATTTGGGGGAAAAGATTAAGGTCCCCTGGCAGTGCGGGATTTACTGGGCTCCTCAGAATGTTGTGATCTGAGTTTGCTGTGCCCTGGAGTGATGCTGGGGACCATGTCCTCTGTGCAGCCCCATTTCTTCCCTTAGGCTGTGTTGGCACAAATAATTCAGTGTAATTTCTAACTTCCAGGTATATTCTGGCCTGCCATGGCTTTTCCATGCAATGGCAAGTGCAGACCCTACAAGTGTAGTGTTGGAGGACTGCTCAGGGCAGAGGGACCCCAACCCAGCACAGCTCACCATTGTCCCCAGAGGCGACCTTCATGCTGGGATGGGGACACAACACCTGCCACCACCCTTGGGAGAGTCTTGGCCAAAGCCCAGTGTCATGGGCAATTCCTGGCCATGATTCAGGAGGAGCAAGACCCAAGGGGCTGTTCCTGAGAGGTACTTTGGGTGCAGCCCCCCCTGGTTTTGATAGCAACGTGGGTATGAGCTCTACCACACTGGTTGACCTCAAAGCACTTGATCTGGGACTAAGATCTGGGACTCGCAGAGCTCTCAAGACTCCTTTTCCAACAGGGATCAGTCTGCACTGCTACAGAATAAATATTTAATAAGAATGAGGGTCAAGGCACTGTTTTGCCCAAGGACACTGACATGGCCATTTACTCCCATGAAAAGCACCAAGGGATCTTTAATGCCCATGCAAAGAAGACAGGAATCTGAGTTTTAAGCTCTCATCCCCCACCATTAATGTCAATGTTAAATATTGATTCTTTCTGTGTTTAGCACAAACCAAACAACAGAGTCGAGCCACGCTCTTTGGCTTTTATTAATGTACTGTTTCTGCATCGGGTGAAGTTTGCAGTAACGCGAGGAAAAAAATGTAGCAGCAGTGAACAAGCGGCAGGCAGATCGATTTTGTATCTTGACACAATTCAGAAGTCGGTGAAAAATCACCCCGTGTGGAGCATCTCCTTGTTCAAGCCATGACATCCATTTTTCAGAGAACTCATTTCTCTGCAGTGCAAGAGTCAGGCCCAAAATTTCTAGTAGGATCTGGGATTTGAGGGAGGGAAGGAATGGAAAAAAGAGGTTGGAAATCGGTAAAATCCCCCTCATCCTCATGGCAGAGCAGGTTCTTTTATGGGTGTCTGAAGTCAAATTTGAAGAGCGGGTGGACATTATGTTGGAGGAAACCTGGGAGCAATCCCTAAATCGATGGTGGCAGAAAATGTGTGGATTTACTCAGGAAAGATGGCCCTTTTATTCGTGTTTGGGATTTTTTCTGCATTTTGCATCAGCACCAAATAAATCACATCTATAAAGGATGACTTCAGTGAACCATGATGAGTGTTTTTCACATGCCAGGAGTGCACGCATCGCAGGGAGACCATGCGTGGACTTCTGCAGCCAGAGATGGATCAGCTGTCCCAAAATATTCTGCAGCTTGTGGGTTTTCTGGGGCTTTGGTTGTAGATTTTTTTTGTAATGGGGTGTTACATCTTGGCTATAAAAATTCATCCTTGGTTTAAATTAATTTAATATTTTAAAGTGTATTTCTCCTTGAGCAAGGGGAGACAGCACTAGGAGTCATGCCTTGGGTCTGCATCCCATTCTACTATCAGAAAACAGCAGGAGCTCTTTTGAGATCACAAAATTAACAGGGAATTGGGAATGTGGGAATATTTTTAATCTCTGCTGTCATTATGTCCATGCACATTCCCACCCCATGCCTCAGTTTACCCAGCTGTAAAATAACACTTATGCCCTTACACAGAGGGATGACATAAATCACCTCTCTAAGGCCCCTTACAAAGGTCTCTAAGACAGAAGCAGAAACTGTGATGTGAAAGCTCTTCTCTTTCTTTTCCTTTTTAACAACCCACTGAGCTGCCCATGAATTGGGCTGACATCCCCCAGACATCCCTGTAAGCCACTAAGCATGTGATAGAATATGATAAATTATTTATTTCCCTACATGGTACCTGTAGTTGGATGTGCTCCAAATAGAAGAGCAGGCTGCTGAGTGCATCACTCGGAGGCCAATAAGCAAACCCCACCAAGCTCCATAAATGCCAGAGCATTTAAGAAAGGCAAATCCTGGGAACGCAGGCTGTGGGGTCGCTGTGCCCAGCTGATCACCGGTGTGTTTTTTCCCTTCACAGATACCCTGAGGAGCATCGCCTCCATGAACCATGCACCGCGGTCCTCCCCAGCAGAGCTCAGCAGCACCAGCCACCACCTGCTGCGAGAGCGCAAGTCCTCAGCACCGTCCCACTCCAGCCAGCCCACCCTTTTCACCTTTGACTCGCCTGCCAGCCACCTCCAGAGCACCCTGTCTGCCAGTGCCCCCCAGGACTACCTTTTCCTCCACCAGTGTATGAGCAGAAAGTCAGAAAACGCAAGGTATTGTGGACCGCATGGGAGGAAACTTTGGGGACAGCTGAGGGAGGGCTGGGGGTGAGCGGCTCAATCCCACCTCTATCCTTCAAGGTCTGCAAAACCCAGCTGGAGAAAACCCTGAGTGGTGGTATCCTCTCATTGTGGTTGGGAGGAGGAGGTCAGGGCAGCAACCTTGCAAGCTCCCATCTATCCTGGCTTTTGGGGTTGTATTAAAAAGTGGCTGAATGGCGAGACCCAGAGGGTGGTGATGGGGGACAAAAAGTCTAGGTGGAGGCCAGTCACTAGGGGTCAATACTGTGTTCAGTCCTTTATAATTAATGATCTGGATGATGACACAGAGTGTACCCTCAGCCATTTCGCTGATGACACCAAGCTGGGAGGAGTGGCTGATATACCAGGTGGTCATGCTGATACGCCGGAGGAACCTCAACAGATGGGTGAAATGGGCCAGAAGGAACCTCCTGAAGTTCAACATGGAGAAATGTAAAGTCCTGCACCTGGGCAGGAACAACCCCAAGCACCAATATGGGCTGAGGGTCACCCAGGTGGAAAGCAGATTGGCAGAAAAGGACCTGGGGGTCCTGGTGGACACCAAGGTGAACATGAGCCAGCAATGGGTCCTTGCAGCCAAAAAGGCAAACGGTATCCTGGCCTGCACTAGCCAAAGGATTGGCAGCAGATCAAGGGAGGTGATCCTTCCCCTCTACTCAGCACTGCTGAAGCCACACCTGGAGTGCTGGGTCCAGTGCTGGGCTCCCCAGTACAAGAGACATGGATATACTGGAGAGAGTGGAGCGAATGGCCACGAAGATGCTGAAGGGACTGGAGCATCTCTTCTATGATGAAAGGCTGACAGAGCTGGGACTGTTCAGCCTGGAGAACAGAAGGCTCAGGGGGATCTCATCAATGTATATAAATACCTGCAGGGAGGGTGCAAACCAGATGGAGTCAGGGTCTTGTCAGCAGTGCCCAGTGTCAGGAGCAGAGGCAACTGGCACAAACTGACACACAGGAGGGTCCCTCTGAGTATTAGGAGATACTTTTTCAATGTGAGAGTGCCTGAGCACTGGCACAGGTTGCCCAGAGAGGTTGTGGGGTCTCCATCCTTGGAGATATTCAGAAGCCATCTGGACATGGTACTGGGCTGCTGCCTCTGGGTGGCCTTGCTTGAGCCCAGGGATGTTGGACCAGATAACCTCTAGACACCCCTTCCAATCCGTGACCCTGCAAATGGGGCCCTAATTCCTGCTTTTAACTAAAAAAAAAAAAAAAACCAAAACAAACAAACAAACCAAAAAACAGAGGGATGGGCAGGGTTTGCACCACTCTGACTGTTCACCCCTGCTGGGCTTCGCGGCAGCCAGTGGCGCATGATGTGGTATTTCCGAGCGAGCGGCAGCTCTCCGCCTTAGAACCCAGCCGGTTGCCTTAAATAGCGAGGAGGTTTTTTTGGTGTAAAGAGTTTTGGCTCACAAGACAGGCGAGGAGGGAGGGAGGGAGGGAGAGGCAGTCGGAGCCCAGCTGGCGTGAGGTGAGAGCAGAGCCCAGGCTGCAGCCTCCGCTGGGCTTTCCTGCTGCAGCTGCCTTTCCCTACCCGAAAAACAACAACAGAAAAAGGCACAGAAAGATTAACTTCAGATGGAGTTAATGGAACACTGTTTAGAAAAAGGCCCTCTGACGCTCCAGCTGTGAGGATACCTAAAAGCCACCCTCTAAGACCCCAAGCGTGGCTGGGACCTGGAGGAGAAGGGAACAAGCACTGATGCTTTGGTGGGTAGAGACAAACTGGCCAGTGGCAGCTTCTAAAACTGGGTCAGAAATCATCACCCTGATCAATGCCCAGTGCATGGGGCCAGGCTGCAGGACTGCTGGGAGTCCCTCCCCTTTCAGCTGCAGAGCTCTTACTTTACTCATCCATAAAATGAGGGTAATAGTAGCTAATTGGTGGGCAACGCTGAATAATTAACCCATGAGATGTTTCAAGTCCTCGGCTGAAAGGACCCTGCCGGAGCCCAAACGTCTCCCAGGCAGATCGAGCTCCAAAGGTGGCAGGGATTCGTTTGTCATATCGCAGCATCACTTGTTTTTATCCCAAATAAGCCCTATTTCTGAGCGCCATCTCGTGCTGGCTCCATGAAACAGAGTCCCTGTTGTCCCTACAGAGCATCAGCCCCGCCAGAGCGGTGCCTACCAGCATCTCCCAGCTTTTCCCATAGGGCCGGCACTTCCCCAGGGATTTGCCACAACTGGAAACCTGCCGCATAACCGTTTCACCTTTTCCCAGCACAGGGATTGATACAGGGCAGGACTCTTCCACGGGGAGATGGTTAAATGGGGCTGGCTGGACCCTTCCTGGCTGCGAGCATGTGGTCCCCAAAAGCCTGACCTGTGCAGGGTTATACCTGTGCAAACAAAAACACCTAGCCCGGGGCTACCTCTCACCTTGTCCTGGTGCATATGCATTAGCTCTTCACAGTGGGATAACCCTTTTTCAGAGGTTTGCCATATTTTCTTCTCCCACAGTGCTTCAGCCAGCCCAGGGGAAGGTATAGTTATCACCTGCGCTTGGCTCTGACACACCTTGCCCTTGTGTCCCAGAGCTTCGGGAGTGAGGCTTGTGTTTTCCAAAGTCTTGCAGAATGGGGAGCTGCTTAGCAGTGGCAGGGGTTGAGGATAGGGGAGAGAAAAGTCCCAAGGGGCCAATTCAAGCATTCCCTGCCTCAAGAAAATGTCATCTGCTGGGGTTATGGGTGCAGAAAGCCAAGCCCACCGGGGTCATCATCTTCTGCAAAGTTGGAGTGTTGAAAGAAGAAGCAGTAGGAGGGACAAAACAGGAGATGAAACCCTTTGGAGGGAATTGGTGGAGGAGCGGTGGCTAATGAGTGGTTGTTAGAGGACCAAGGTCTCTGCAGTGCTCACCCTCCGTCCTGGCTAGTGTCCCCAGGCATGACCACAGTGCAAATCGAGGAATCATTAGGAAGGCATGAACCTAGTGACACCTTGGGGCACTCAAGGACTTTTATAAATCTGAATTCACCTCTGAGGTTCATTCTTCTTCCGCTGTGGATCAGGGCTGCAAACCCCAAATCCCAGCTGGGGACAGTCCTCACCTCCCCAGGGCTTGTCAGGCAGGGTGGTGGCATGGCTGGAGGCTTTGAAATAATCACCATCAAGGATTTTTCTGGTCCCTCTCAAACACATTTGCAAGGCACAAGTGAGAGTAATGCTCCCTCCTGAAATGTGGACAGGTGGCCAACGTGTGATGGTGATGCTGATGGGGTGGCTCTTTGCAGCCGTGTCTTCAGTCACTGCCACCTGGTGTGAAAATTACCCTTTTGGAGAAATTTATGTCCAGATAAAAGGCTCGTTCTTGCCCAACGAGCCCATAGCCCTATCATGGAGCTGGATGCATGTACCTCCCACTGGGACAGAGGCATTTTGAAAGTGTTTCAGGATAAAATGGGTTGTGGGCATGTTAGGAGGGGTCTGAGATGTTCCCATTGCCCTGGGGTTGGGCAATGAGTGTTGGGAAGGTGACAAACAAGGGGAGCAGAGCTTAGTGCACCCATGACTGGCTGTCCCCCCATCTCAGCCCTTTCTCTCCTTTCTCTGCAGGAGCGCCAGCTTCTCCCAAGCCACGAGGTCCACCTTCTTCATGCGGAGTGACACAGCAGTCCAGAAGCTCTCACAAGGCAACGGCCACTGCATGAATGGGGTTGGTGGGCAGCTCCATGGCTTTTACAGCTTGCCAAAACCCAGCAGGCACAACTCAGAGTTCAGGGACAGTGCGTATGACCTCCCACGCGCCTTCGGTTCCTACACCCACCCCAAGTCGAGCCTCACCAGCTCCGAAACAGATAACGAGGAGGTCTACACCTACAAGACTCCCAACAACACTCTATGCAAGGAGTTTGGGGAGCTCTCCACGGACTCCTATGACATCCCTGCCACCCCACTCTCCGTCTACCAGATCCCCAGGACATTTACACTGGACAAGAACCACAATGCTCTGGCTGTGGCTGCCAGCGACTCACCTGCTGCACCACCCCCGCGGCCCCCAAAACCTGGGCAGACAGAGCAGCGATGGGGCAGCCCACCCCAGCGGCCCCAGCCTGGTGAAAGCTTAGGTCTGACCCCCATGGCAGCCACCATTCCCCGGAGAAACACACTGCCAGCGGTGGAGAACAGCAGGCTGCACCGAGGTGAATTTGGGGGTGGGGAGCGGGGGGTGGCTCTGACCTCTCTAGCAGCCTTGGAAGGGCAGGTCCCTTTGGGTTGCTGTAGGGGTGGGGTGGCTGTTGGTATCAACCACAGGGGTTGAACACAAAGAAGTTCTCCCTGATCAGGATCTGGCCCAAGCAAGGAGAGGCTGCTCAGCTAGCTCTTGTCTGTGTTGTGCCTTGATCCAAAACCCCAAACCTGCTTGCCCATGCAGCCCTTCACCAGATTTTGGTGATTTCAGCCATTTTTAGCTTTCTTTTACTTTAATTTGTAACCAGATTTATCAGAACATACTTCAGCCTGGAGCTGCCTTCGTTTTGCTGACCAGACAGGGACATAATTTTGCACATTTCCAAGGTCCAACATCCCCAGTGCAGCAGAACCGCCCTTCCCATTGGCCATGGATGGGCTGTGGATGAACGTGCCTTTTCCAAACCATAGCATGAGATAGTTGCAAAGTAACTTAGAAGAGGTGGCTGGAGAGAAAACATGCTGTAAATGATGCACACAGCTCCCTAAAATGCCTCTTCCGTCTCCTTCTACCTAAATACCAACATTTAGGCTGAGATCAGACCCATGCTGAGCAGCAGACAGACCAGTCTAGGAGCTTAGCACCCCATCCGCCCATACTGGAGGCTGCCAGCCCTTACATCTGCTGAGTGAGCTGCCCCTTAACACAGTTTTTTCATCATGATCTACCTTACCTGATGTCTTTACCCGTGGGATTTTGCAGCACTTTGACAGAACCTGGATAGGTCCGTGTAGCACGTGCAGTTGCGTTGACACATTAGAGAGATGCTAATCAGGAGGAAGTATAGCAGGGAGTCTGTGACAGGCTAAAACCCATGTCTTCCCACCAGCATCTCATTCACCAAGAACAGATGTTGCCCTCCCAGTGCCTGGATTTTGTTTTCAGGGGCCCCTTTTATTACCAGTTGTGCCGGGACACATTGTGCTTTCGTGGTTGTGTTGCAGCTTCTTCTTGCGAGACGTACGAATACCCCCAGCACGGGGGCAGCAGCGCTGTGCAGTCGGTGGAGTCGATGAACGACGGGTACCACTCCTACCTGGTGAGTTGGCCTTGGCATTGGCCACCACACTATAGGAACCATTTGCACCTTCTAGATTCAGAGGCAGGTTGGTTCCAGGTTGGACCTCACAGCCCAGTCCTTCAGAGCTAAATCAAGAAAGGTTTTATTACTGGTTTCAGTTAAAACCATAGCGGCCTGCAGGGTAGAGATGGAGGGACAACGACCTAATCCAGCACCACATGCAGAGCTTTGCTTTGGGTGCTTCCACAAGATACATTCTGTATATGATTCTGGAGCTTTGATCCAAAAAAAGCACCCAGAAGTTTGGCTTCTTCCTGAAAGCCTGGGATGCTGCTGAGCGGAATTTTGACATGTTGCCAGAACAGCCTCTTTTGTGCACTTTCTAAGACTTCCTGAGCTGGAAATGACATTAAAGCAGCCTTTCATACTGCATTTTAGTCATGGCCAGAACCCAGGGAAAAATTACTTTCCAGGTTAAGCATGCTTCTGCAGCTCATTCTGATCATGAGAAGACGGTCAAGTCTGGGGCGATTAAGACCTTTCCCTGAACTCAGATGTTGCAATGTCTTGGAAACTAGAGGTAGACCTTCTCAGTGCAAACTGCTGGCCAAGGAGGGGACAGACCGTCCCTTCCGTTTGTGCTGAGATTTTAGAGCTGGTCCCACCTCACGTGTGTGTTCAGTGGTGGTGAGATGAAAGGGTTTATAATGGGATGGGATTTAGCAGTGTCTTGATGGTCACAGCACATCCTCCCACTTGTCCCCCAGCAAGCCAAGGCAGCAGTGGCCCGCTCCCATAGCACCGACTCCGAGGACAACTACGTCCCCATGAACCCTGGTTCCTCACCCCTGATCCACACCGAGAAAGCCAACGACAATGCCCAAAATCTCTACATTCCTATGAGCCCTGGGCCGCATCACTTTGATCTGGTGGGATTGTCCTCAGCCACCGTCCCCGTGCATAAAGGAGGAGCCATGGCGCAGTGCCACAGACGGTTGAGTGAAATCCAGCCCCCACCAGTCAACCGCAATCTCAAACCTGACCGGAAAGGTAAGAACGTTTGTTTGTGAGCAAATCTGTCTAGGAACCTTCTATTCTCTTAACACCTCAGTCTACATCTGTCATTTTGTGCACACTTGATTGAGTTCTACGTGAGGTGTGCTTTGCTACCGCCAGCACAGCCAGATCTTCAGATCTTCCCCATTCCCTCCTCTTTCAGGAGGACTGTTGGTGCAAATGCAGCTTTCGTGGTGCTTGAACAGCCTATCTCAAAGCCTTCCTGGCCTTCACCAGAGATACATCACAGACAGGATCTCACCTCCTTTGCCTGCACCCCTCCTGCACTCCACCCCAGAATCTCTGTGTTGTATTCAGATGACCCAGATTTCTCCTACTGTTTCCTACTGGTTAGATCTAGACAGGTCTTCCCTCAGGACTTTGCCTACATCCTCCAAGTCCTACCCCAAACCATCGTCCAACAGGTCATCAAGGAGATGCCAAGGAGGAGGGCTCCCATCATTAGGGTGTCAGCACCTAACCCCATCAACATGCTAAGTGAGGGCTGGTCCGTAGTGCAGCAGTCTTCTCTTCCACCTAATGAACCACTCAGGATGAGAAGAGCTTTCATGTTACCCTGCAGATGTCCTTTCACTTTCCATATAGTGAAACGCTGTGGCCAGAAGCAGCTCAGGGCTGGCAGAGCCTGGTCTTGTCCCCATCTAAAAGGCTTGGGCATTTTTAGCAGATGTCTATTCCCTGGGAGGCACATTGCCCTTCTGGTACCACACATCCACTTTGGGTCTGAGAGCCAGAAGGAAAAGTTGACTGTTTTCCCCCAGTCCTGTGTAAATGAGTGCGGAGATTTTGGTTGGGGGGATTTGTCATCAGCAAGGAGAGCTGGGGAGCTGAAGAGCAGAATGGGAAGCAACCAACAATTTCTTGGGGACCCTCTCATGCCAGTCGTGGACACTGAATTGTAGGAATGTGCTGCCTCTGAATAAAGGCTTTTCTCCTCCCCAGCAAAGCCATCACCACTGGACCTGAGGAACAACACTGTCATCGATGAGCTTCCCTTCAAATCGCCGGTCACAAAATCCTGGTCCAGGCCAACGTGAGTAATGGTTGGGATATGAATTCTCACTCTGTTTCAACAGCAGATTGCTGGTCTTGCTCTCGCTGGTGTCCACATGTAGCCTCACTGTCACTTCTGTCACGGATTAAACATATCTGACTGAGTGCAAGGGGGATGTCAGCTGTCCTCCTGCCTCCACTTGCCGCAGAGGTTTCTCCTGGCCCACCATCTCTTCTTATTGAAGGAGCATGTTTCTCATGGACCACCTTGAGTCAAGCTAGAAGTAAGTCCAGACTTTCCCCAAAAGCTGGATGATCCCTTCAGCCTTCAGTGTGTTCTCTGTCAATTTTAGAAACAGGAGCTGCAGAGCTGAGTCATGCACCATCTGCACTGGGCTGAAAGTCCACTTTGCCCAACACCTTACCCCCATCAGGGACCATCAGGAGCTATCTGGGAAGAGGGGCATTTATGGAGTAATTCTATCCTAAAATACCCTGCTACACCAGGGCTATTTGGGGTTTTCTTGGTCACTTCATAGCCAGATGCTTTTGAAGTAGAGGGGCTCTTCTCTTGGACCCCTCACAAGCTTAGTCAAGTGTTCTAAGAGCCAGAGTCATATTTCCCCACATCACAGCTTGTGGCGGGAAGATAAATTCATTTAGGTTGGGATTTCACATGAAAGCCCAGCATGTGGCCAAGCAGCTAAATTAAGACCCCTTGAAGACTTTTCCTATTTCTGGGTTCTGACAACTCCTAGAGAGCTGTGGCTCTGACACAGGACCTGTGGTCCACCACGACTCATGACCCAGCTGAGCCACCCCGACTCAGCTTCACTGGGGGTGCGCGGCATGATTTCACATCCAGAAAACCCCACTGCAGTCTCAAAATGCAGGGTGACACTCACAGGATCTGACCAAGCTGTGTTTTGATTGCCTTGAAAGCAAAGCCTAGCCTGAAGGAAGTCTGCAAAATGAAACCAAGGCACTTCAGAGCAAATTCTGCCGGCCAAAAATAACAGGATTCGCACGATTCCAGTTCTGCTGCTAATTCATGGTCTGATGTTGTCCAATGAAAGGCAGAAGCAAAGCTTGGCTGCTATGACTTCTCTAATAAATTGGATTGTGTGGAGACTGACTGCAGGGCATGAGCACTGTGTGCTGAAATCACTGCACCAGGAAACAGTGAGTGGGGTTTGATTGACAAGACATCCGAACCCGGAGAAGCTAATGGATTTTTCCCTTATCAGCTAATCATATGACTCTGCCTCTACTGCAAGGCAACAAATAGCTTTTTAAGACACAAGCTTTAATGCCAACTGCTGATTGCATTATGTTATTCTGTGTAATTAGATTTGGCCAATTGAAAGCAAGACAATGCCTCAGAGGCTTTGTTTTCCAGCAAAAAAATTCAGATAGGGTCCTGCACAGCAAACAAATCCCGGAGCTGTGTTGCAGCTGGAGGTAAGAAGCTGCACCAAGACTGGCCCTGCATCCTCCATAATTAAATACTTCCTGTGAGATAAGAGTTTGTGGAGCCTGATTTATGTAGCCGATAGCAAGAGAGTTACGGGTACATAGCAAACAAAGCATTATTAAAAAGTCCTAGAAAGAAAAAAAAAAAAATCCAACAAGACCAGGCCTAGTGATTTCTGAACCATGGGAAGGTCAGGTTAGGAGAACCTCAACGCCAGCAGCTCTTCTTCATGCCCAGTCCCCAGATCTGAGCATGGTGATGTTTGGAGCCATCAGGTGCTTCCCTCGCCCACCCCTTCTTGGCAATGGACAAGCAGGACCTCAAACACGTTGACCCTTGTCCTTACAGGCAGACCTTCAACGCCGGCTCTTTGCAATACTGTCGCCCTGTCTCCTCCCAGAGCATCACCAGCACTGACTCAGGAGACAGCGAGGAGAACTACGTGGCAATGGTAAGAGCCTCACAGCTAAGATATATGGTCCTGGCAGGACGTATACGTTCCCCAGCTCTGCAAACACATTCCTAGCTGATGACATGACAGTGCTCAGATAGCGCTGTGATGAATGTGGTGTGCGTCCTTACGTACATCCCTACGTGCACGAAACAATGACTTTCGTTCCTAAAATGACACGTTCCACTGGGTTTTTAACTGTTTATGAGAGCAGAAATGTGTATCACCTACTTTGCCAGGAATTAAGAGGGGATAAAAACATCTATGAACTGTCACGGTCTGTTTTCCTAATTTAAGTTGATTTTTTTCATGTTGTTTTTTTTTTTTTCCCCTAATAGCTGTTGACATCATGTTTGTGTGGAGGGCAGGGGCTATCGGAGCAGCACCAGAGAGTGACACTGCTTATAGGGAGGGGATTTTGTCTTTCTCTGCAAATCTGTTGACTTGAGGCATATTTTTGAGCCTATGTAACCAAGGGGGTAGAGGAAATCTGTGCTCTGTGTAGCCTGGTTGTGATTAGTGAAGATCCCAGAGTTGTCTGGCCTTGCTGAGGTGTGGTTCCTGGGAAAGGCTGAGGCCCACATCTGATGTCAGGCACGTGAATAATATCAGCACAAAGGCAGCTGAACTGCTCTGATACATAAAATCAAGAGCATGAGCTTGAAATAATTGTTGGGACAATACACAATACGTATAGTCCCCCAGGGGTTCTGCACACCCTGGTCCCCGAGAGACAGATGAGCACATATCCAGGCTGGGACCTTTCTTAAAAGTACCACCAAGGCATTTCATTGCCAGATTTGTGTTAATACTTTTTTTTTTTTTTCCTTCTTCACATTTTAATCCTCATTATCTCTCCTATCTCTTCCCTGCATTAGCAAAACCCCATTTCTGCTTCTCCTGTTCCTAGTGGCACCAACAGCCCAGCGCCTAAAAAGAGTTCAGGGAGTGTGGATTATCTGGCCCTGGACTTCCAGCCAAGCTCACCAGGGCCACACAGAAAGGTACGGGGCATTTTATAAACTTACGATTAAAAGTGATGCGTTTAAGGGTTTTTATCCACATTGGCAACAGCATGGTCCAAAGCCCTGAGCAGGGGTGGTAAGTGGTAATCTCAGAGGAGTGTTTTTTCCTGCAGATCTGCTGCTATATCTATTTTAGGTCAGACTCGGTCTCTGTCGCATGTTCGCAGCCTTGCTGAAGCGTTACCAGAAGCATGGATGTGCAGGGGTTCAGGGGTGCTGATGAGACCAGAAATTCAGCTGTACATTGTATATGTCCATTGTATATTCAGAAGTTGTCAGGAGTATCCCAAGAAGTATCAGAAAATTTCTTTTTCCTCCTTCAGAACAACAGGTCATCTAAAACCAGACTCGGGTTTTTCCACCTGAGATACTTTCAGAAAATACTGGGCACCTGTCTCCTGCCAGTCGTGCCATTTGGTCAAGAAAAGTACAAACAGCTTTCAAAAAGTGAAGCTGATGTTTAAAAGCTAGGTTAGGTTGAGCTGATCAAGACATTGCCCGGTGAGAAAGAGCTGTGAGGAGAAGATGGGTCAGGAATGGGATGCCTGTGCCAAGTGTCATGCAGTAATGTGGAAGGGGAAGCTCCTAAAGACCCAGATGTAGGTGACTTTTCTCCAGGTTCATACACAGGAGTGAATCATAGGAAAATAGGGCAGTGGAGGACCTCAGGGCATCCCCACATCCCAAAGAAACTCTCTCTCCTGAGGTGACAGATGACACTTAAAGATCTCATATGATGGAGATTTTTTTAGGACAACAGGGAATGGCCTCAAGTTGTGCTGGGGAAGGTTTAGACTAGATATCAGGAAGCATTTCTTTTCAGAAAGAGTTGGGCGTTGGAATGGGCTGCCCAGGGAGGTGGTGGAGTCCCCATCCCTGGAGGGGTTGAAGAGTCGGGCTGACCCAGCGCTGAGGGATCTGGGGGAGTGGGGAACTGTCAGTGCTGGGTTAACGGTTGGACTGGATGATCTCCAAGGTCCTTTCCAACCTAGTTGATTCTGTGATTTCACAACCTCCCTACCAAGGCCACATACTAAGATGAAGAGGACACCCAGGGGTGACTGAATGGGCTGGGGAGGGACCAAAGGCAGGTCCTGCTGGGTGCCACCCTGAGCAAACTGGGAGGGGGAAGGAGAGACTGGCTCAAGCAAAGCAGCGCCCTGAGCAAGGAGATGGTGAAGGACAAGGCATTGTATAAACCTGTGTGGGAACCACCTGTGAGTTGGCCTCGACTTTCTCAAACACTGCCTTGTTTCCTAGGCAAAACATCCCACTGGGTAGGTGTTTTTATTAGCTGACAGTTGTCCCTGGATTGTTTCTTTCTGCCCAGCAATATTTCTGCAGATAATACCAATTTATATTACATCCCAACCTGGAAAGGTGATTTTAGACCATGAAAAAACATCCCCTGGCTCCGGTTGCGAGCAGCTGGGAATTCCTCTGAAATACTTGTAGAGGCAGACAAAGTTCCAGGACTCAAGAAACTATGGAAAAAAGTATCTCCTTCTTCCTCAACAGGTCTCCTGGGTGAACCTGCAAACATATCTGTTATTTGGGGGATGAAAATAAGCTAAGAGGGATGGAGCTGGGGTTTTTATGTGTATCTATAAGAGTTCTTGAGTTCTTTACAGGAAAATGAGCAAGATGCAACTCTGAATTTGAGATATCAGCAGTTAGCTACCACAACTGTGGCCAAACATTTATGTCACAGTTGTGATGGGAAGATAGAGACCCAGGTGCTGTTTCTACCCTCCCATTGCACTGCAGTCTCATGCATGCAAGATGCAGAGCAGACTGAAATCCTTCATCCAAGACCCTTTGGGAGGTTAGAGGGAGGGTGATGAGCTATCGAGTCTGCAAGAAAATCAGGAGAGGTGACAGTGTGCTGCTGTGGGACGGAGCGAGGGGTAAGAGCAGGGAGCTGATGAGTGACCAGGCGGTGGCCGTGTTTCTCCTCCCTGCAGCCCTCCACCTCATCAGTCGCCTCGGACGAGAAGGTTGATTACGTGCAAGTGGACAAGGAGAAGACACAGGCACTGCAGAGCACCATGCAGGAGTGGACTGATGTGCGGCAGTCCTCGGAGCCCGCCAAGAACACGAAGCAGTAGCCCCTGGGGCAAGCAGTGAAACAGGCAAATGTCTCGGCAGTTTTCCCCAGCTGGGGCCCCGCCGGGCTGCCAGCTCCACTTGGGCTGGATTTCTAAGACTTGTCTGTGGAGAGGAGGGGGGTCTTCATTTTTATTTTTTTTTTCTTTTAAGACAAAAAGAAACTTAATTTCAGGGGAAGACTTGGCAGATACTGTTTGCCAGTGATAAAGACCAACTATGTTCGGTGGCTCGGTTTGGGCTTTAGCTGCTGGATGCACTATCCAGGAACTTCGATTTAGCAATACCAGGTTTCACCCTACACATCTTTTGCTTACAGCTATTAAAGCCACCTTGTATGTGCTAACACTGCATCATCTCTCCCCGTCTTCTTCCAAACTGTACCCCCAAACCATGCCATGTAGGTTTGCAGCCTCTCTCACAGGACATCATTCCCCAGGTCGGATTCCCCACTCTCTATGGTTGCCCTCTGCCTCCTCCCAATCCCGAAATTGAGCAAGGACCATTCCTTTTGAAATCACTTCTGTTGTCCCATCTCTTGTAAATAATATGTTCAAAACCTCTGAGGGCTATACTCCTCCTGGTAGGACAACCCCCATGGTTTTAGTTGTGGTTGTTAACGTTCAGGAGCTTGAAGAGCAGCCAGACTGTCCCATTGAACAGACTCGGAAGCCCAAGACTTGCCCCATCATACACACACGTGTATATGCCAGCACATGCTCGCACACATGCATGCACGTGTGAAACAACCAGTTTTGTGGGGTGTCTTCTGCCTTTGATGCTCTCCAGCATCTCTCAAAGTCAATGATCTGGAGAGATTGGCTTTGGATAGCAGAATTTAAGCACTGACCCACTGCCTAGCTGAAACAAATTGCCTGTGAATCTGGCCCTAAGAACCAAAATCTGACCTTTGTGGCAACAAAAAAAGCCCATAGAGTGAGAGTCCTACATCTGCAGGCATCATGAGAAGCTCTGTGGTTGAGTATGAGGGGTGCAGGAAGGTTCTGGAGACTCTGTATATCTGGACTGGTGCGAGGATGAGTGACAAGGAGGGAGTGGAAGGCTGTTGCAAGGACTGGGAGAAAGTGGGTGCTGTACTGCAGAGGTTGGTCTTGGGTGAGGAGGTCCAGTGGGGTGTGTCTTGGAGGAATGGAGTAGAGTAATTGGAATGTTGGTTGATGGTGAGGATTTAGGCTTGGGAAGAGGCTGGTCAGGAGAGTTAGGGCAAGGTGTTTCCGTATTAACTTTAATGTAGCATTATGGTTGGTTTGGGGTGGGTGAAAAGAACTGGACTAGATATTTTCCCCCCATCTTCAGCAATGTTTCTTCAACACAGAAATGGGGCTTCTTGATGTTAATGACCCTAGGCTCTAATTATGGGTGGGAATCTGCTGTTGCCCCTTGTCAGCATCATTGACACATCCAGGCTTTGGGATTGCTCCCCAGACAGCTGCTGAGTGCAGAGAGCCAAGAAGGAAGAGACAGTTTATTGCAGAGATAATAATTCATGATCTCATGAAAACAGGAAGGACTAGGGATTGCCATGGAGCAGCCTGATTGCCAGACAGCAAGCACTGACACGAACAAACAGGCCAACCACCTACTGAGAGACAAACGATGGAGACATTAGAAAGATTAGGTAATAATATTGATTAAATAGCTGGAGCTATTCTTTCTGCAAGTTGAACCCCTCCCAGTGCCACAGGCTCTATGTTCCACCAACACCACCAAGTTGTATTGATTATAGATGCTTGAGCATTAGCACATCTGTTTAAGCTTGGCCTGAGTTTGGAAAAGGCCTGATGTAACCCACACAGGGACAGGATAGCAGTCTCTTAAGGGCTGCTTGTTGGTAAAATAAGTCTTGAACTTCCAACACCAGTTTATGTTTTCTTCCCCCATGCCATGAAAGGGAAGGATATTAATGCAAAAGCTCTGACAGCCCTTTTAAGACATTGAAGTGTTGGCCTTTTACAGAAATAATGACGCAAATGAAGCTCATGGTGAAAAAAATAACCATCTAGGAGAAAAGAAATGGAAAAAAAAAAAGATCCAGAAGGGAAGATATAGCACAGCCAGATGCTTTCTGAAGGTTGGGGAGTGTGTTACAGCCTGCAAGGGCCTTTGCCTCTCACTGGGGGCTTGCACGCTTGCATGGTGAGATAATGAAATGAAGACCAGAGTACAGTGTTTCATATTTCTATAGCCTCTTTCATCACTGCATCTCAGGGGAGGCTAATCTTTGGGCCTGATCCAAAGCCCACCGAAGCGTGTGTTCAGCCAGCTGAGAGCAAGCTCCCCATCCCCAGGGAAAAGCAAATGTGACTCAAGTGGAAAGCTGATTTTTTTCCTAATTCATCCTCTAAACTGTTAGGTGGACACAAAGGAAGATGAGGTTGGGAGAGAAGGGTTACGGTGCATGCTGGTTGTATTTCTCTGCCAAAATTGCGCTTTTCTCCTCTCGCACTAAAATGCAGCCACCTCTGAGGTGGATTGCAGCAGGAATTTTGGGAATGGCTCTTTATGCTGCTTTGGGTCTCTCTCAATCAAACAATGCAACTATTCTCAAGATGAAACTGAGCCCAGCTGCAGGCTAAAAAAAATTTAAACCGGACCAAAAGCCTGGAGAAATCAAGTGATGGCCCATGCTCAGATTGAGTCTTTTACTCCACCTGGAAGATGGGGAACTCAGGTCGTCCCAAAAATACCCTGAAAGCAGGGAGGTGAAGAGGAGGCAGCAGCAATAGACCTTTCTGATGGTGCAGTGGCCTGAGAGACAACACAATGGGTTGGGATGCATTTTGTTGAGTCGGTGCCCTGCGATTCTGTGCTGGGATTAGGTGCATTCAGTGCCCACCCCCAAAGCATTAATTAAGATTGGAAAAGCCCTTCATGAAGAAGCTAGTCCTTTTTCTCCACATCCCAGAAATGTCTGCATTTGTTCATGGGGCACACAATAGCATGGGATAGCTCTTTTCCCCGTTTCAGTCTGCCTTCATGACCATCCCCAGCAACTGACCCTTTGCATTCAGCCAACCAAGGACCAAGCCATCCCCAAAGCAGCCATTTTGCAACTGCTGGTTGCCTGTCCCTCTCTGCTTTGCAGTGAGGTCTCTGTTTTCCCAGACGCAGGTATATTCCTCCATTTTTTTTCCCTGCTAAGCACCAAGCAAATGGCCCCTCCGAACTAAAGAGCAGCCCATAGACTCTATTCATTGCCATATAGACATGAGTATATCAAACCCTCCTGAAAGCCATTAAGTAATCAATGGCTGCAGTGGAAATAGTCATTCCTGATGGTTGCCGAGCTGATTACAGAAGTCCCTGATGATTAATGTTTGTGCAGTATTTAGTCTTAAACCATATTGAAAAGCAGCTGGTTTAATTACACGGACTGCCAAGAACTTTGTCCTGAAGGCATTGAATTTATTACATCCACTCTATACTTGGATGCTCAAGTACGACTGGGTCTTTTGTTAGAAATAGGTATTTTAGGAAGCTGAGAACACTGCAAATGATTCATTTTAATTGCAATTAAAATGGCTTGAGTCTTCTCGTCAGAGCCTGCTCTTCAGCTCTATGGTTCCATTTAAGCGAAGGGATGTGCTTTGTGTTTGTGCGTGCTCGTGGAGAAGGGTTGTCGGTGGGACAAGCATCATGACCTCACTATTTAGTTTTATGAAGTACCAAGGCCATGGCTCAAAGTTCTGCCCAAGTTTTAAAATGTCTAAGCTGTTGGTTTTAAAGACAGAAGTCTCCAAAGGTGTGTGCAACTGCTGCCCATGGTTCCTCTGTCTGGTGAGATGTGTGATCTACCTTGGAGCTGCTTTGCTCTGAGGTGACATTTGAGTGTTCAGTGGGAAATACATTCACATCTCTAAATGGATGCCAGGCTTAGGCTTGGTCTCAAGTTGGAAAAAGAAAATACATGTGAGTGTAGACTGTGCCAGCGTAAAGCTGAGTGTCTGGAAGATAGGGCCAAATCCAGAGCCCGAACCAAAAGGTAGTTATGACTTGGGTGAAGTGGGAGCTAACTGGGATGGATTTAGACCCAGAGCTACCATCCACTGACAAGGGTTATATATGGGAGGATGTGAGGTTGGGAGGAGAGAGGGCAGGGGAGTTTGCCAGCAAGACTTGAGTCTTGGTCCTCACCATGTGCTCCTTTGGCATGAGTCTCAAGTCAGATATATTGAGATCTGTGGGTTGTGGAGTGGGTTTTTGCTCAATAAAAGCCATGCACTGGTGGGAGGGGAGCTCCCACTGCTCTCAAGACTTACCCAGGGCACTTCACTCTCAAGGGGGTCATCATCTTGCCCAACAAAATGATGCCTCGGTGCTCTGACTTTCAGAGAACCTTGGTCCATGTACCCAGCTCTGAGCTGGACAGGAGAAGCCCTACCAGAAATGTGGGGACCCAGACATGCTCAGAGACACCTTGCTCTGGGGCTCCCATGAGATGGTCATGGGCAGCAGTGCCATGGCTTCAGAGGGTCATCCCACGAGGATCCACCTTCATCCTTGGAGCTTTTCAAGACCAGGCTAGATCAACACCATAGTTTGGAGAAGAGAGTGGGACTAGAGACATCTCTTCCCCCTCAATTTACCCTGAGATCCTGTGCTGCTGGGGCTGAGCGGAGACTCCTCCATGTGGTGGAAGAGGCCAAAAGTATTGCCTAGAGTCCTGTAGAGTCCGAAACAGGGCCAGGGCCTCTCCTCTGGCTATGAAGCCAAGTGGCAAAGCACAGCTCAACCCCTGAGACCATAGCCCCCAACAAGAGAACCTAATCCACACTGGGGCTATCCCTTGCACCTGGGAGAGGGCTGACTGGCTCAGACCAAGTCATCCAGGACATGGACACACAGTCTGAGCAACTCGGGGACAGCTTGAACCTGTATATTTTTTAGAAACCAGAGCTCTCTGCAGCCCCACACCAGCCCCTACACCCTGGTGTCCCAGACCCTTGAGCATATCCGGAAGAGTTGGCTTGCTTTGGCCACCCGTTGAGCATGGCTACTTGGGAAGGGTAGAGCCATGTCCAGGTCTTATGTGGTGGTGGATTTTGGTAAGAAGATGTTTAAATAGCTCCCAGGTCCTGGCCTAGACGGCGAATAAGAGGATAGTTTTCCCAAGTCATGCTTGCATTGTTTTTGCACCTGGTGATATTGCTATTCCATGTAAAAGTTGACACCCGTGTGCACTGTGTCCTGTTGATGGGATGTTGTCTGGATGAGATGGATGCAGTGGGGCTGTGCCTATGGAGAAGAGCCACTTGTAACGGGAAGGGCGAAGAGCAGAGCCTAACCCCAAACCCAGCCAGAGGACACTCATGGCCATCAAAGAGCCGACAAGAAAATCAGAGGGACCAGTCCAGCATCAAATCACAAGGGCCAGTAAACCAGTTTAGATGCCTGGTGAGTCTGCATGTCTCTCTTCTCTGCCCAGAAAGCATCAGCCTGCCCACATGTACATAATGATCTTGCAACTGTTAATGAGGCTCTTGAAGGTAGAGATGTCCACCTTTTCGTCATGATTTCTCCTTGGCCTGCAGCAATTCAACCCTACATCAGCTTGTTCTTGGTGTCTCATCCTTGTAGTCGCAATTTTATCTCCTTGTTCACAACTCCTGGAGTTGTACTCTTAACCAGGTTGCTACTTTAGTAGCTGCTCCTGAGAAAAGTTGATATGTAGCAAGGTGTCACCAAAGAGCTCTCCCCCTGCCAACCCATGGCCAGCCAGTCCTGGCACATGACATCCAAATTTTAACATCTGGAGCAGAAGCTGGGCCACATGACTGAAACAGCTCTGGAGCTGAAAGAACCTCTCAGTGGACTTGCTTCCAATCAGCAGGCTTTTAATTTTTGTTGCAGCCCATTGCTAACATATAACGGGTTCATTTGTAGGCCAGTGGGTTGACTACGTGGAAGAGGTCTGCTCCAAGACCAGGAGATAAGAAATCATCTTTTTAACTGTTGTTCTTTCGGTGACACCACACTTTATCGTTAGGTGGGATGAAGGCGTTCATTTGAACTCTGCATCCCGCTCTTTCTCCAGCTTGTAAAAATGAAGATTTTTAATACACAGATGCATCGTGTGGTGTAGTCAATTGACAGCTAATAATGCAAAGAGCTGGTTTAGAGTCTGCATCCAACAGCCAGGCAGCTTCTGGTAGTACCCCGTTGTCATGCCCAGCATCACACACAACACTACACACCCCGCTCTGCAAAGCTCATTAAAAAACTCTCATTCTCCACTACCAAGGTGGAAAAAAAAACTTGGCAGAATTTTCTCCTGAGCAAGGCAGGTGGGGGAAAAGCCATTTGCACAGTTTCAGTGTTCTGCTGCCACCTTGACCCTGAAAATGTAATGTTTTCTTTGAGAGCCCTTTGGATGTGGTGGCTGAAGCACCTCACGGAGAGGGGAAGGAAGCAGGACCCTGGGCTCCATGGGGAGCCCACCGATGAATCCCATAGGGTTAGGACCAAACCTTTAGAGTAGTTATGTCCCACTTAACCCAGCCCTTGGCGAAGTCAGCGAGTCCCCAATGACTCTGGCCATTGTTGCATGGGAACAGACCCAGCCAAATTAGGGTAGTTTTCTCCATTTGTTTCTTAACCTTCTGTGAGGGGTGGGGGGGGTCAGAGCCCTGGCTTTGAAGCCGTCACGTCGGCAGCCAATTCGCAGGGATGTTTTGTGTGTTTAAAAGCCTATGACTGTTCTTAAAGAGAAGCATTTTTAAATTTTTTTTTTCCATTTGTAGAAGGAAGGACAAGAGTAATCTGTGGCAAACTGTACAGTACGTGTCTTCTTGTGGTGTCACTGTTTGAATGGTTATTAAGTTTTCAAATCACTGTGGACAGCTAATCATTTAAGTTATTAATTTATTCTTTGGGGTTTTGTTGTTTGGTTTTTTTTAAGTAATTTGAAACAATTATTTATCCTGTAAATCGGTCTTGAGTGAAGCCTAGATAATACTTTTTTTTGCTGTTAATAAACATGGTACATGCCTGACGTGAAGGTGATCTCATTCTTAAGTACTGTATATGCAGCAGGAAAGCAACGGGAAAATAAAAGAATAATAATAAAAAGACATCTCTCACTGGTGACTCCCAGCATGGATTCAGAGTGGGGAGAGAAAAGAGGGAATTAATGACTGGATCAAGTTGAATTATGCAGCACCTTTAAAGCTTTCAGAGCATCTTCCCAGCATGTCACCAAATATCCTCTACAGCTTCAGGTGTCCTGTCTGTGTAATGAGGGCCTTTAGGATGCAGTCAGGATTCTTCCCAATACCTGAACACAAACCATGTGTTTTTCAGCCACTGAAGTGAATTTCAAACTATGTATCTGCTCCAGGGATACACTTTGGTGTGTGCAGGGTGAGGACAAATACTGCCTTCATTGCCCATCAGCAGCTCAACACCTGTAAGCCCCAGCTCAGGACAGCAAATCACCCATAAAAACCTAAGCACAAGAAAAATCCCTTTTCCCAGCGTTAAAAGTTCAACACCCCCTTCAAGACACTTACATCTACTTTTAAAAAAAAACCCAGACACCTGAGGACAGACACCTCCCTGCAGCACAGCCCCTGTAACCCCTTTCTTTAGACAGGAGTAGCATCACCTCACATCTGCAGCACATCTGGGATCCCAAACCTGGAGCTGGGGACTCCACTGTGGGCTCTCCTCAGCCAGAGGAATGTGTGAAACTACAGGCCATACTTCTGGATATACCACAGTATATACTTTAACGATACACCATATACAAATATTTCAGTTATTACTAACACTAATATTAATACAATCTATACCAGAATTGGTATAGCACAGATAGTAACACACTATACTAAAGCTATACCAGACTTCTGTAAGGCCTTTGATATGGACCCCCATAACATTCTTACCTCTAAATTGGAAGGAGATGGGTTTGATGGATGGACTGCTAGATGGATAAGGAATTGGCTGGAAGGCCGTGTCGAAAGATTTACTGCTCAGTATCCAAGTGGAAACAAGTAATGAGTGTTGTCCCTCAAGGGTCCATACTGGGACCAATACTGTATCTTCATCAATGACATGGACAGTGGGATTGAGTGCACCCTCAGCAAGTTTGCAGATGACACCATGCTGAGTGGTGTGGTTGGTACCCTAGAGAAGAGGAATGCCATCCAGAGGGACCTTGACAAGCTTGAGGAGTTGGTCTCATGAAGCTGAACGAGGCCAAGTGCAAGGTCCTGCGTGTGGGTCAGGCAATCCCCGGTATCAAGACAAACTGGGAGATGAAGGGCCTGGAAAGCCCGCCGTATCCTGGGCTGCATCAAAAGAAGCGTGGCCAGCAGCTCGAGGGAGGTGATTCTGCCCCTCTACTCCACTCTTGTGAGACCCCACCTGCAGTGCTGTGTCCAGCGCTGTAATCCCCAACACAAGAAAGACACGGACCTGTTGGAGTGAGTCTGGAGGAGGCCACAAATATGGTTGGGGGCTGGAGCACCCCCTGTGAGGACAGGCTGAGAGAGTTGGGGGTTCAGCTGGAGAAGAGAAGGCTCCAGGGAGACCTTAGAGTGGCCTCCCAGGGCTGGAAGGGGCTGCGGGAACGGTGGGAGGGACTCGTCATCAGGGGAGTAGGGATAGGACGAGGGGGAACAGTTTTAAACTGAAAGAGGGCAGATTTAGATGAGATCTAAGGAAGAAATTGTTCCCTGTGAGGGGGGTGAGGCCCTGGCACAGGTTGCCCAGAGAAGCTGTGGCTGCCCCCTCCCTGGAAGGGTTCAAGGCCAGGTTGGACGGGGCTTTGGGCAACCTGGGCTGGTGGAAGGTGGCCCTGCCCATGGCAGGGGGGTTGGAACTAGATGATCTTCAAAGGTCCCTTCCAACCCAAACCATCCCATGGTTCTATGATTCTATAATATTAACAGTGTATTACTAATACCATATATTATAATATACTAATACTAGTATAGTTATAATATGATAACATATGGTTTAGTAATAATATTCACAGTAATAATAATAATAGTTTTAATAAAGTATATTAATGCAAAATTTAATCTATGTTGAGTATTTCATATATTACTCATCTTACATATATTTATCTGATAATTATAGAAATGTGTATATTATGTATATAAATACATATTTAATCTATATGCATATATATAGTAATTCTTTTGGGGACAGAATCATGGTACAACTGTAGATAATGCTGTGAAAACAGGGCTGAGTCCAAAAGGGAAATTCAATGCTAAGAATTATAGGAAACGAACAGGGACTAAACCAGACCACCTCGTTACACCGTTGAAAGTATCCAGGTTGCCATCTGTGCTGAGCACTGCGTGCAGTTTGCCTCTGCCTGTCTCAGAAAATCTTGGGGAAAAACACGCTCAGGGAAGAGCGTTTCCATGTTGGGTTGATTATCTGCCTTGATTATTTAGATTAGGATCTCATCAAGGCACAGACAGTCTTACTGCAAAAGCATCTTCCAGCACGCGGCCCAGAAAATGTCTCCAGGTGACACTCCAGCACAAAGCAAGGACCTGGCATGACAGCAACACGAAAGCTTTCAGCAACCTCTTTGGGCAGGAGGTTCATAAAAGTCTATTCATAATACTGAGAAGCACGGCACATTTTGTGTAACTTCAGTTTGGGGGTCCATATTTTTTTCTTCTTCGGACTTAAATTCAACACTCCACTGCTCATCTGCCAAGCCCCACTAACAGGGTACCCTTTGGAGGGTACGCAGCTCAAGGCTGGGCTCCCCATCCCACCTCTCCCTGCTCCCCTCTTCCAAGCCACCACTCTGCAGGGTTGTCCCACGTCCGTGAGGTTGGATGCTCATCTCCCATTGGCTTCCCCATTTCTTTTTTGACCCATCAGCCCAACGGCTATGAGTATTTGAATAAGACACTAAGCCTCTACGTTGAATTAATTTCCTTTATTTATATATAGGAAAGGCAAGAAAAGAATATGATACTATACACCAGAGATTTGATCCCAAGTGTCCTCTCTAGCAGACTTTCTGCTCTCATTATCTGTAGCAATGTCTGTGCTTTGCTTTTTCCTCCACAGCAACACAACATTCCCACCCTGATACACCACGGTCAGGATTAGGCCCTGCACCCAGAACCTAAGGCACAAGTCTCTGCCACTTGAGCTAGAGAAATCTCTACTACAGGTGCGAGGAATGAGCAGGCAGGGACAGTGGCTGGGGAGAGACACGGCAGGGAGCTGTGGTCCTGTCGACATGCTGCCCGGGGCTTGGGTTGGTCTCCTGCCACCGAAATCAGCCTCTGTCCCATTATTGATTTATATAATACATTGGTTTACATAGTATGTATTTATATTGGGTTGATATATCTGGTTGGACTACTCTCCTTGCAAATCAGCGTTTTAAAAAAACAGCTAGTGGGTTTAGGGGGGGCTCTGTCATTTGCTGCTCAGTTCAAGGTATCCCAAAGGAAAACCCAAGTTTTAAAGGGCAGATCCAGCCCCGAAAGCCATGAGATGAACACCAGCAGGAAGAGGCTAACCCAGGCCTAAAGACACGTCTGAAAAAAACAGCTGTGTGTCTGGGCCTGCTCTGTACACTTACAGCACCCAGAGGTCACCAGTAACACAACAGGGCTGGATCCCAAAAAACCTCCACTGGACCAGGTCAGTCTCTCTTGGCTGGAGGTGTTTGCGCCCCTCGGTCTCTTTTGGGTGCTTTGCAATGCTGAATAAAACCCCTCTGGTCAACCTGTCACTGCTCACTGTGACCAAGCAGGCTTGCAAGCTCACTGTCCCACCAGATCAGTGTCATCGCATTGGCTGATTGGCATTTGTCAGCTTTTTCAGCCTTTTTCTGTCTTTAGAGGTGTGTCAAGATGAGTTCTCAAAACCACATTAAAAAAAAAAAAAACCCCAAACAACAACCAAGCAGAGGGCCCCCAAAAATCAACTCAGTGCCATGGGAAGGGCTGCAGACGGGACATGCATGGGACATCTTTATCCCTGAGGCCCACTGGGTCCGTCTTCATCCCCGTCCCTGTCCCCATCCCCTCCCCAGGCTGGTGGCACGGCTCACAGCAGGCAAGACACGGCTATGCTGAAGCAAAAGGGCACTTCTCTGAGCTGTCGGCAGCTGCTCATCTCTGCTTTAGCTTAGTTATATTAAGGCGTGAAGACCAAGTGCATAGGAAGCAGTGGGACCCTCCGGGTGCCTCCAAATCAGCCCCTGAGTCCTTTTCCATTGAAATGTTCCCCAAATCCTCCTCCAGGATGCCCGCTGTCATCAGGGTGAGGAAGAGGAGCCTCTGGCTTAGGGTTGGCCCTGTGGACATTGGCCATCTGGTTTAACCCATTGGCTAGAAGACAAGTCCATGAAAGGAGCCGGATCCACCCCCACCCGCCGCCGGGCTGCAGCCCCCTGACGAGCTGTCATCATCCTTGTCCCTGTCAAAATCTCTCCACCACAGAGGGGATTTCGGCAAGGCGGAAATGTAGGCAGCTCTGTTCCTCGCTTCTTTTTCCTGCTCCTGGGAGAAGAAAGGGGGAGAAATAACACAAGCTGCAGATAAATGACCCGGGTAGGGGGATGCTCCCACCTTCCCCAAGGAGCCAGGAGCCTGTTTGGTTGCCCCTGGTGGCCTCCTCCCAATTAAACTGGAGCGAGAGAGCCATGTGCTCATCATTAGAGCTCGGTGGGAGGGATGCAAGCAAAGCGTTGCAGCTCTCCAGAGATCAAAAACCAGCCCTTCCACGTCACCTCTGGGAGAGGAGGGACCCCTCGAATTCCTCTGGGTGCTGCTCATGTCCTGCAGGACACTGCTGTTTGGAAAGCGTTGGACTCTGCCAGTTGAATGACATGTGTTCTATTATAGTTCGTATTCCCAGCTCACCCATCTTTCCCAGGCACTTAGGAGAAAATTTCAGGCAGAGCTGCCTGGGGCAGGCAACAATAAGTCAACCCCGAGCACAGTCACAAGGTGTCCCGCACCAACCTCAATGCCCAATTTCATCAGAAAACTGCCACCTCTTTATACCTGGGTGCTAAAAAGGAAAAGGGATTCAGCTTCGGGGAGTGGGTGGGTATCCACACGCACGGATTTATCTGCAGGACGTGGCCCTGCTGCTGCCCGGATGGGTGGG